CAGAACAAATTGTTGAAATATCGACTCAATGGGATAATATAAATAATATAATATAATGCCGGATCCACATAGAATGATTTTTGTTTGTTTCCGTTTTAAAAAACAATTTAGACTGTCCCATCTGTGTCTGGAAAAGTTGAGTTAAAGTTTTGTTCTGTTTTCATGTTCTGCGTGGACCCAGCATTTGATGCTTGATTTGATAAAATATTAATATTTTAAAATTCTCATTACTCGCATACAAATTTTAATTTTATGCAAAACCAACCAAAAAACACAGATAATATTATCTTTAAGTTTGGTCATAATTCAAAAGTTAGTAAATTCACTCTAATAATCTAAGATTAATAACAAACAATTAGAAATAGTTGTCAGACAGGGGGCAATACAAATTGTGAGTGTGGCCAGGTCGAAAAGTCCACCTAAGTTGTAGGTGATTTCTAGTTTCCATCACCGTCACAGCATGACAACTCTTTTCAATTACACATTCACTCCTATATTTATCCTTATTCATTGCCAGTTGCCACCAGACAAGGTATCGGCCCACCGAGTTATACGACTTTAACCGGCCCTAAAAAAGTTAAAGGCCAATTTTCCAATAAGATAAAGCCATTAATAGTTATCCATATTTTAATAATAATATCATATATCATACAATATAAATTATACATATTATAATAAGCAGTTGACATAGATAAATAATAAATAATACACTACTAAGCCGGCGCAAATGTTAAGCGGCCCACCGAGTTCAACTCGGTAACTCGCCGGCTCTATTAGGGCCTGGTTGCCACAATTTTAACCAAATAATATACAACTCGCTTAGAGATGCTCCGGCACAAAAGAATATGGTTAAAGCAAAATAGGGGAAACTTGTTGCAAACAAAATCCTTTTGTCGTACCTAACGAGTTTTCATATTAGTGAAATCCTGCATGGTGATACAATACGTATGATAACAACACGCATTACAGATTTTGTCCACTCTTGATATATGTTAACTTATATGAGAGTCAGCCGAGGTGATTTCACTATATATGATTATATAAGTTAATGTGAATACAAAATTTTATTGTTTTTAGTTAGGTCACCAAGACGCACCACGTGACTTAGTAGAGTTTATATCATATTGGATCGTTTTCTCGGCTTTAATGCAAAAACGACGAAATCGTAAAATAAAATATTCTAATCCATTCTATTCGGTTTTTTAGTTCTCGTTTTTATTTATATGTCGATGTAAATCACTCATAATCATAAAACAAGATTTACGTCGTCGGTAGAGCGTTGATTTTTTTGCACTTGTAGTATGATATTCGATTATATCGTTTCGATTTAATTTGAATTTTAAATTTGTACTAGGGCATTCGAAGTTTTAATCAAATTTTTTATTGTATTTGTCAAACAAATTTAAATATCGACCAATAGTTGAATATAATTGTGTACAATTTCACATTGCATATTATACAATATGATATAATTCAATGTGAATAATCTGAAAACATTATAGAATACCAATATCAATGAATGAATAGTTGACTTCAGCCTATAGTATACTGAATATGTATAGTATTGTAGTACTGTATATAAGCAGTGTGTTACAATGTTGTGAAATTGTTTACGATATTTTATAATACAATATTTGTAAAAAAACGTGGACAAGATTAACCTGACAGATTAATAGAGATAAATTTTAAATCCTAATAAGGAATCACATGAAAAATATATCACCACAAGTGTTTTTCTATGGACTGCTTCCCTGCCATTTTATTACAGCTGTAGTGGCTGTTTCGTTATTCTGATTCCTAATGGATTTAAATCTCATCGTTTTATCATTGTCATTAATATTAATATAATACAAAGTCACTAAAATCGCAATTACAGTTTAGCAACAATCTCCAAATGAAAATCAGAGAACATTTTTAGATCAAATTCAACCACTGGTGGAACAGATTGTAACAATTAGTTAATGGGAAAAATGAAATTTTAAACTCAAAGATAGAGGTTTAAAATAAAACGTAAATCTTTTTGACCAACACATAGTTACTTAAGATATTTCCTCCCAGTTCCAGTACTACGATTTCTAGTTTCAACCATACGCACCTGTAGAAACGTATCTACATAGCTCTCTATGTATCTATTTTCTTATGCCTGTTACAGTAAAACCACTTAACGAAATTGAAATCATTATAAACAATGACTTTTAGAATGAAATCCCTATATGTATGATGACGCACATGGTTACAAAAATAAAAACAATAACAAGACAATAATACCCTTTTACATTACATCATGTCCTACGTTCTAAAAAATAAACTTAATAGTTAATACTATAGAAAAGATAGAATTTGAGAAGAATATGCATTATTAAAAAATAAAAAAACAATACAAATGTAGTATTAATTTGTGAAGCTTTGGATGCGAAAAAATAAATTTTGGTGTTTATTTGATTAATTAAATCAGGTAGTATATAGTTTGAAGAAATCAAATGCTGTAAGATTGTAAATACTATAGGATATATAATATAGTAACATACATTTGGAAAGAAAAAAACTACTGTTTTGAATGGAAATATTTTTATTCTTGAATAAATCAATAATGTCTTTGTTTAATTTTAGTATTTATTTATTGAATATTATTCGTTATTAGCCACGACACTTAAGTTTCCAAAAAGCATCAGGTATGAAAGATTCTTGATTATTTAACTAAAACTATAAACTTTTTGGATCTAATTCATATTCGTCCGTGGTTAATTTCACGCAAAAAATCGTATAATGTTATGAGGTCTCGGTGCTAGAATATTTTATAGGCCCTTTCCCCGTAAACACATATGCGCGAGTGGGTAGTGTAGACAACTGTCCTCCAAAACATTTTTCAATTACAGCTGGGCATGTTTCCATTGGCTATTTTAAAATTTTCATGTAAAAGTTGTTAACGATGAGTTTTTATCATAATATTTGATGTTCAACGTTTGAGATTAAAATATACATATCAAACCACTGTGTAAAGGCCCTACGATAATTGAGGTGCGAAGAGTTAAGTAAAGCACCAGCCGTAACCACATTTTCTTCAAAATGACTAAAGACGGGTTCACAGCTACGTCGTCCATCGTGTCGTGTCGTGTCGTGTCGTATCGTGTCCAAAAGTTGAACTCGGCCATTATAGACCTTATACTCTGAGTAAAATGTCTATGAACCCTATAGAAATTTCCCGGTAGATCCCATTTAGTGATATGATACCGTGGTCCATGATCACAACAGCCAATCAGAGTAAGACAAAAACGCAGGACTCGGCAACCGTCATCTGACGTGGCTGTGAACTCGACTTGACAGACAACGTGGAAGTAATCGTTACCGCATTTATTATACTCGGTCAAAAAATGTATACCGATTTCGAGTGACCGCCATTTTTATACGGTTAAACCCGGATTTTCATTAAACCATATTGTTTAAAGTTGAATGTATTTTAAACCTTGTAACTAACGTACTACCCACATTTTTTACCTACATATTATACTCGGAACTCAACACGTAGTGAAAACCCGTGGTTTTACGATGTTCATGAGTTGGTAACCACGATGTTTTCCAATGGTCAATTGTCGATGGAAAATAGAAAATGGCGGTGGCCATTGAGCATCGAACATTTTTCTCCGTGTCCGATTAACAATGATTTCTCTATGACCTATGGAAAATATAATGTAATATACGATTTACAGGTAAGCGGTTAACCTCGATTATTTCCACGTCGTCGGTTGGTCAGTCCTAGCAAATCGCGAACAAAAAGCTCTTCTTCCCCTCACCCACGCTGCCATTCGATTATTGTCGCTGTTCGCAAGTACTGAAGTGTTATACACTGAGAAAACGTTTTGGTAATACGAGCCTTTAGACTTCTGCAAGCAGTGAGCATCATCACCGCTTCCGGTTTGAATCACTAGTAAAAACTAGCCATATAGAAACGTTGAAGACATCGTTTTTTATTAGAATAATTGATTTATAATACGAGTTATAACGCTCAATGTATTAATGTACAATACTGCAAATTTAAATTTAAAATAATGTATATCCTATGTATTTTTGTTTTATAGACCCAACTGATATGTTTTAATTGTCTGCAATAGATTTATAATATAATTAGTAAGTATAGCTTATTCAAAAAATAAATGTGACCCAAAATAATGATTTACACGATATAGGTTATATTGGTGAGTATAGTACAACTAATCTATTATCAAAACTTTTAAATTGGTTTTACTATTGATATTTATATAAAGTTATACTAAATTAAATTTTTAAGGATCGGTAGAATCAACAACCGACGAAGTCAATACAAAACCTTCGAAATCTATATTATATACCCATACATTTGAAGACATATCAGATGAAGCGTTAAACCTACAGTAATTATACCACTTATCATGCTTTTATATTAAAAAAAAAAGAATTAATATAAGCCTAAGGAGTCAAAGTTTACTATTATTTCGCTTAAATTGAAAAATTACGAAAAAGAATTATAAAAATATCAATATAATTCGAACCATTGAACACGAGTAGAATAAAAACTGGCAATAACTTACAAACGAAGTAAAACTAAACGTATAAACTATAAATAACATTGTATATTTCAGAACGCCAAAATATACTTTTGCGCTCTCGGACCCTCAATTGACCTAAATCCAACCCCAGTTCAACCGAAAATTTATTCTTACATACACTGCAACAGTTTGTAATATTTATATAAATATGGTATAACATGTATGTATATGGATAATAAAGTAAGCATGTTGTTAATAGAGTGTCGACATTATAGTTATTATTTGTATTGTCAGTCATTGACCAAAAAAAAGACCCTTTAGTATTCATGAAAACTTTGTAATATTCATGAGTTATTATTATTAATCAATAAATGTTTATAATATGTACTATGATAACTAGTATGTCTTTACAAATAACGGATATAACTGACAGTATAATAATATTATTCACATAGGTACCTAATAATTCAAATTATAACGTATATATTATTGTGAATTATCAGGTACATGAATAATAATTTTTAGTATCAGTATATCGTACCCTTTTTCAGGAATCGCCGTAAACCAGACGCAACACAAGCGCAGACGTACCGCACGCGAACACCGACAAGCCCAAAAGGACGAAACACACGTCCTTGGCTATCACGTACGGCCTGGTGGACATACCGTGCAGGGCATGTGTTAAGCACAGTTCGACGATATACGGGTAGATCAACATGTTGCAAGCGTTACCCAGGTATCCGATGAGCCCCACGATCACGTGGACATTGTTTGTGACCGGCAACGTGACTGCGATGTTAACTGCGGACAAATCAGTGCCCGTTATTAGTCAGTAAGTGTAAGACGTCGTATAATGATAACGAATACAGAATAAAATAAAAGTTATAATAATATGTATATGTGCTAGACACCTCGGAAAGTCCATTTAGGTAAAATTAATGTACATCGCATAAGCCTAAACATTAACTAAGTTGTCAAAATATGGAGGTTCATAAACTAGTTTATTTTCTCTGAATTAACTTTTGAACTTTATAAGTACGCATTTTTTCATACAAAATAAACTTGAGCCTTCCTTCGGTTTAATATTTAAATATTTTTACTAAAAATGTCGTATTATATGTATTTATTGGTTATGTTGGTGGTGTGTACCTACCTCCGTTTAATTAAAAAATAACGCTATTACAATAATGAGAAAATCATAAATTTGGTTAAATTTGACCTTGTTCAATTATAATAATTAATATAAGAAATTTAGTTTCTTACTTTTTAATCATTATTAACCCCTTTTCCGCCCACGCAGAAAATACCCACGTCAAAAAGAAATCGTTATTTTTACAAAGAATGTTAGTAGTATTTCATACTATTTTTTCTAATCTTGTTGGAACACTATAATATTTTTTTTTATGCAAAGAGAAGTAATTAGGTTTATAGATTTCATTATAATACACCATCTTCTGGAGAAAACACTGTTATATGTTATAACAGTGTGTGTACGTTCGGCTAATGATCAACGCTTATCGACCGAGTAATAACAGTATTTCTATAGTGATCTTGATTTCCAGGGTGTTATTTAATTATATTGTAGCATGCTCACTCCCATTTTTTTCCTTCAGTAATACATTTATTCAAATTCTGATTTTAAGTGTACCTAAAAACAATATTTTCAATTTCCTGATATTTTTATACTATTTAAGGAATGTCTTGTGGCGATACAGACATCTATATTTCAAATGAGAACCCTCATTCGTACTGCAAATTATTAAGTGGATGAGTTTATTAATAATGCACTGGTGGGTTTATTCAGAATTTGAATGTATGCGCAATTTAAGCATGAATATAGGGCGAGCATTCTTAAAAAATAACCCTGTATAATAATATGACATACTGACATAATAGTCTTACCAAAAAACGAACAGAACGTGAATAAGATTTTGGTGAATGCCGACAGTCCCGCTACCGTGATCGGGGAGTAACTCACGGTAGACGGTGAAGTTTGACACTTTTTATTATTGCTTTTAACTTTCGCCACGTTGATCGACGACGCCCACAATAATGTGGATTCTAAATTCAATTCTCTGTGAAAAAACATGACATTCACTGCCACACACGTTTTGACGATAGTCTGACTCCTATGTACACGAATGAATATATAATCATTGCCTATAAATGGCAACAATATGACGTACAATTTGTAAAATTATCAAATTTTGTAGAGTTATTTTTACTTGAAATAGTTACTACTAATTGGTATCTCCCACCAATTATAATAATTTTATCAACTTTATTATAATATTTTAAGCCTATCTAATTTTTTTTATACCTGATTGACGGCATGAATTTCAATATTGAATTTCCAATCACCGGTACGTATTGATGATCTAAAAAACCACACAGGCCGACTGCAATGTACAAGTTTGTCATTACGATCATTGAAGTATTCAAAAGGCTAAATTTACGTGTGAAATCCTCCTGTTTGCTCAGCCCATCTTCAATTTTAAATACCTAAACCAATTTGAATAACGCTTATTCCCATGTCATATTATGATTATGGATTTTAATTTTAAATATATTAAAACTACAAACTATGTAATTATAATTACGAAAAATATGCCGTGTATAAATCGCAATGAACATAATGTTGATTATACCTAACAATTAACCGTGAAAATAAAATACAGATTATTAGGACGAAGGAAATAATCCAAATAAAGCATAAATTGAATTCTAATATATTAATAATACATTTCGTTAAGTAAAGTATAATTAATAGTAAATCTATTTAGAGTTGCTTTTTTTTGTATGAATAACATCTATACGCGCCTATATTTGGAAATATATGATTTCGTATACATACGATTGTGAATAATAGTAAATTTTAATGAAACATCGAACAAACAAAAAATAACAGAAGATAAATAAAAGTAATGATAACTAACCAGCTTTTGTAATACCATTCCTACTTTTGACTGCCATCATGCTTTACTATAATAAATTTACAATTATATATTAAATATATAAAATATTTCTGACTTCTATGAAATGAATATATCTACTAAAAACTCGACAGTCTTATTAAAAGTTTCAATACATAATAATATTAGTAATAAGTAAATTTTTGATTCTAATATATATTTACCTGAACTATAGGTATGAACGTGAACAATAGTATTCCAAAAAGTTGTAATGAGTCCGTCAAATTTCCACAGAATAGCGTCTGGCAGCTGATATCCGTGTCCGACGTGAATGTATAGTAGAAGACGAAGCTCAGAAAAATTGCACAAGCCAAATTGCTGAATATGTGCAACGGTGTCAAATACTCGCCGTATGGAAATAACAAAAACACTAAGAACACGACTTCTAATCCCAGAGAAACATCGAAAAGATTTGCCGAAATTTCCATTTCGATGAACAACTGCAGTGGACATAGAGGCGACGTATAACTTTTGGTTTTTCGTAACATTTGTGTGTAACAAAGTATTTATTATATTAAACAAAGTACAACAAAATGACCTGACAAATCAAATAACTTTTGTTCTAATCAATATTTAAACAATTTTTTTTAATACTAAAAATTTTAAAAAAAATAATTTTATTAAATTTCATTTTGGAAAAATAAAAATAAAAAATTTGTAAATCTAATTTTTAGACAAGTTTTTTTGGTAAAAACATCTATTTAAGTCAAGTTGTCAAAAACATCTTTTTTTAGAATAAATTAATTTAAAGCGTTACTATAATAATAATATACTTATATTGATTTCCAACTACATTACAGTATTTTTGTCATAAGTTTAATTAGTATCCATTTATTTTTTTTGTCAGGTCTTTCTGTTACATCTGCATATTTTATCAACTTTTCGTAAGTGATGATTTAAGACTTAAAAAAAAAATGGCTAGTCGTCTATGTTAACCCAAATGGTATTTCATTGGTATTGAAATTAAATTCGCTAATACTAAGGCTGCAGACAATGTCCACTTTTTTATTGCACTTAAATAAAAAATAAAATAATTTTCGTGATTGACCAATTATTATTGATTATTACCAAATTAACCAAAATGAACAGGTCTGTAATAAACCAATAACTAATTAGATAACCTTTAACAAACAATAATATGCACCATATATTATCATTTTTAGAGATAGTTAACTTTGTATTAGAAGATAATATGTATTACCTACTGTAATTTAAGGAAACAATTTGTATAGGTCATAATAATAATTATTATAGTTATTCAATAAATTTATCAATACGTGGTCAATTAATGGTATGTAATTTTGATGTGCAAATACCACTTAGCTCAGCGATAAGTTCTTATACATATTTAATTAGATTTTTATTTTATTTTAAAGTGGCAATGTTGGAATCCCTGGGATCCCATAACACTATAATATTGTCTCCAACAATAAATGACGGACACTCGTCAGTCGTCGTCTTTCTAAAACCTATTTATCAGAACTTGATGCAGAGATATTAGATAAACATTGTATACACGACAATCGGAAATGTCAAGATGACAAGTCAATGCTATATCAATGTACAGCGCTGTCTGATTTATCAAGTCAACGTTTTAAAATATTATACATGTTAACTTCAATAGATATTATAATGAGACACGCAGACATTATATTATTATCAGTTGACTAGCCATTTGCAATAGTGTGTACATTTACGGCATTTACTGTAAAAACTTATAAGCATATAGTATCCGTACCTCGTGAATTGTCGACGACACGAATCTCGTGTACAGACAACTCTTCCCAAAATTCAACGTCAAGTTCGTGGCCATAAACGTAAACCTTTCAGTGTATAAATAAAATAAAGTACAACAGGTGTACACAACTGGACCGTTCGTAAAAATCCTATCTATATAATATAATAATAATATTTTTATATGCACCTCATTCGTTATCGGTGTGACATTTTACATAATATCTGTTCTACAAACTGTTAATCAATACATAAATCACTTTGAGCATGCAAATAATAAAAATGTCATTGTTATAATATACATTATAGTTTATAATATAATATAATAATATTGTTTAGGTACCTGAAAAACGGTGAAAGCCATCTGATTACTCGAGGGCCATGTCTCAAGCTGTACTCGATCAAGTTCTGATACTCCATTTTCGGTACTCTGTGTATTTGACATAGTTTATACCTAAAACGGCACTATAAAACAAATTTTTTAAATCAGATGTTTTGACTTTTGACGGAAGATCCATCATCCCTTGCAAGACCTACATCATGTAACTTCTTAAGAGAACCGTCAAAACAATACGATTTATGATGATTTATAATCAAAACATACGTGACTAATAATATTATATTGAATGATTATGTCTGTGTAGTATAAATAAATACAAACATTTGAGATGATACCTGATTGTTTAAAAAATCTTTCTACGCATCTAATATAAATTATAAAAATAAATAATAATTGTCTTTACTAACTAAAATCGCATTTTTTGTTCAATATTGTCAACTCAGTTTTAATGAAAAACGATGTTATAACACTATTATGGTATTTATGTGTAATACTATAACGTAGGTACCTATGTAATAATATTATCACACTCTTTATAAGTGCATTCGGCTAAATTAGTTGTATTTGATTTATGTAACCATATTCTCGACTCTCGATTAAGTATGTATAAAATATTGAAATCTCGAGTTTAAAAACGCAAGTATAAGATCAACGAGCGTACCTATAGGTATGAAGTACCTCACAAACGATGAGTTTCAATTATTACCGAGTTACTTGGATTATGCGACAACTAAACTTAAAGAAACGAATTCGGTTTTTCCCCGTTCCACCTGACACACTCACACTCTCGTCAAACTTATCATCATGCAATATCTACATTTTGTATTTTATGAGTGCAGCTTTCCATGGTGCGATTCTAGTGAAAATATGTGTGTACTCACCAAGGTTGTAAATGAGTAGGTAAACATCAATCCGGTGATAATGCACAAAACCAAGCCGATCAACATGCCCACCTGCGTAAATGCGTACGGTAGGCACAAGAACCCAAGTCCGATGGAACGGCTAATGAAATATGTGAATGACATATAGAAACTGTAGAAAAATAATACTTATTGTGAAAAAATAATTCCGAAAACCTTAGGAGTCCAAATAAATTGTATAATATTGTACTTCAAAACAATACATCGGTTTATATGCGTAACCACTCAAATGCATGTAGTAAGTACCTGAGTCTTGAGATAATTATGGTTTTCATGCAAAAAAAATTTCAGCATTTGGGTCCAATAAAAAATATCTAACTGCGATTTGATTAGGTATAGCCGTATATGATAGTGCTGTACTTTATATTAACTTACAAAAACAAATAGTTTATCAACCCAATTATCATTATAGTTTATGTATGGTTGTGGCCAGGAACATGATGCATTTAAACTTTTTTTAACCTATCACGTCAAAACTCTAAATACATAAGTATTCGCATACAGTGTTCACTTTTATAGAAAGTAAAGGTATTATAAGCCATTGTCATGCACAATTCAATGGAACAAATTTTCAATTGCAATACTCTTCTTTTTGTTGAAAGTTGTTTAGCATTTCACTCGTTTTGAGTAAGAATTGTTTGTGTAACAAAATAAGTTTGTTAAAACTTAAAACTAAGTGTTCTATAATAAAACAACTCAACCTATAATTTAGCACAATCAAACGACTATTTATAAAAAAATCTATGCTGTAATTTAAATATATACAACTGCTACGTAGGTATGCAGCCTATATAGTGATGTCTAATGTTAGATCGTACAAATATATATTTGAATCAATTTATTTAAGATTTAAAAAATAAATTTAAGATGATATTTTTTTAATTTTTAATGTTTAAGTCAGTTCTTAAGAAATGTATTTTAATTTTAATTTTAAATAATTGTAGGTCATACAATTTTGGGCCCCTATAGTTATGACATACTTGATAAATTGAATTAACCTTTTACAATTTTTAAAGCGTATACAATATACATAATGCTTATAATCTAATCAATTTGAAAAGAAATGTGTAGTAAGGAAAATGTTTATGTCGAGGGCCAATTATCATCATTGACCGACAGTGCTTCAGTCGTTACACATACATTAGACATAGCAGCATATACTGTTCATCTCATCGAATTCTAATAACATTTATAACCACAATATTATGTACCATGTTTTAATGACGTGGGGCCTTACGTTTTGTAAACTTGGTTTTCAGGCGGATCGTAGTTGAGGAAATTATGCATCATCGGGCTAGACGACGTTCGAGATGTGCACGATTGCAACTCCGACGCCAATGACGAAATCTGAGGTTTGCTGATCATACTCGACTCGAACGATGTCTCTGCGCCACTACTGCAGCTCGTATCCAAGTCTCCATCCGACATTTTCCGTCCGACAGAGTATATAGTAGAAAATCGCTTTGCAATATATCTGCAACCGTATATAATACGTACAGAACGAAATTAATATGGAATAATAATGTTG